TCAGCAGTGAGCCTGCCTGGCCTGGCGCTGCCTAGCGAGGTGGACCTGGGTGTGGCCCCGCAGCCGGGCACCCGAGCGGGCACCGGGACGCTGCGGAAAGCTGCAAACCCAGCTTCGGGCGAGGGCGGTTACGCACCCAGAGCCGGGCGCCGGCCTCCGACCACAAGGGAAGGGGAAACGGCAGCCAGGGCCTCAAACCTGGCTGCTGACGACTGGCTGAGTCACCCCCGCAGAGAAAAGCCCCCAGGTGGGGGGAGGGGAGGTGTGACCCACATCCAGCCGCACCCAGCCACTGCTGGCCACTGGCAACCACCTTCGGAGCTGAGTGGAAACAGGCCGGATCCGTCCCTGCAGCCGCAGCTGCCTGGACTGGATGGGGGACTGAGGGGTCACCCCAGAGTCTCAGGGACCTGAGACCAGGCGGGGAGACCAAGCAAAGCAGGGCGGTTCCAGCTGGCACACCAGGCCGCTCCGGGCGGTGGGAGAGCTGGGGTGGGGGGGGGAGGCTCCCACCTCCCCAGGGGAGGAGCCCCCTGGCCGCACCTGGACAAGCAGCCTTTGCCCAGCGGGCATTTGCATCCTGCAGCCAGGGGAGGGGAGGTGGTGGCCGGCTTGCTTTTTTCCAGCCTGCGCTCCAAGCTGTAGTTTGACAAAGGTGGGGCTCCGTCCTCCTGAGCTCCCCATCACCCAGCTGTATGCACCCAGCTGTCAGGGCTGAACTGTGTCTCCCCAAATCTGTTGAAATCCTCCAACTCCGAGTGTCTTAAAGTGTGACTATTTGGACTTAAGGAAATGATTGAGTTAAAAGGAGGGGGTGAGGGTGGGCCCTGATCGCTGGCTGATTTCCTTAAAAGAAGGGGAAATTTGGACCCAGAAAATGTGCGCATAGAGGACCATGTGAAGACATGGAAAGGGGCCTCCCTGGACTGACTGGCTAGGGCTTAGTCTGCACCATCACCACAATGGCCCAGGTTCGATCCCCGGCCAGGGAGGGGTCCACAGGGCGCAGCAGACCCCTCCTGTCGCCCGCTGCTCCCCTCAGCAGTGTGTCTCAGTCCATCTGCCTGTTCTGCTCCCCGCTCTCTCTCCGGTGAATCCTCCCCCCCACACATCTGGCCTGTACCCCAGCTCTTCTAAAGAAAGCGAGCACAGCACAGAAAGGCAGCCAGCTGCAGAGCAGGGAGAGAGACCTCAGAGGAAAACAAATCTAACCCTGGTGGCGGAGACGCAGCCTCAGGATCGGGAGAAACTAACCCCAGCTTGTGGCCTCCCTTCGGCTGCCCAGCTGGGAAGACACCAGCCCTGGGCTGGGATCTCACTCTCTCCCTCATGGGGTCCGGCGAGGAAAGGAAACCGCATTCCCTAGTTCTGGTAGGCCCACGGGAGAGGCCCAGTCAGACAGGAAGAGGCCCTGCCCTCTGCACCCCCAACTTCCCCCCATCCGCCCCGTGGGCTCCCTGGTGCCCTGCCTGCCTCTGCTACCCGCAGCTGCTCCAGGAATGCAGGATGTGAAGGGGGCCCCTTGACCAGCTGGTGTCCACCCAGTTTGGCTCCCCCCCACTTCCTGGCAGCCCCTGGGGTGAGCCGTTCCAAGCTCCACATTCCAGCCCCAGCCTGGAGCTGGAGGAAGGGAAAACTTTCCCACAGGGCTTGGGGTGGAGGAAAGGCTCATCTAAAACCAGCCTGGAAGGCCTGCAGGACGCTCCCCTCTGCCCCTGCAGCTCTCCCAGGCCCCCCCTCTGTTCAAAGCACCCACAGCTACAGGACTCCCCTGCTCTCCCCTGCTGTGTGCAGGCCCAGGGCCAGAGTCCCACCCGAGCCAGCTCACTCACGCTCCCTGAGAACCCCGCAGGGCTCCCGGCGATTCCAACATGGCCACAGTGCAGAGGACTCCTGCCCCTCCCCCAAGCCCCACCTGGCCTGAGGTCACCTGCCGAGTCAGCCATTCACCTTGTAAACCTGGAGAGGGTGAACTAGGCCTGGGTGTGGGGAGGAAGGTCCGGCTGCCAGAGTCCAGATGGCCTCCACCCATTCCCAGCCCGGCAGCCCCCAGGGACCTGGGAATAGGAGGCCCTTTGTGGGCAGCAGGGCTCAGCCCAGGTAGCAGGGGTTGACCTGACTAAAGACCTGGTTCCTCCCTCCTGGCAGATTCCATCCATGACAGAGACGCCTCTGGGGAGTCAAGGTGACGGACGAGTGAGGTGAGCCGAGTCCCCGCAGGCGGGCAGCTTCCAGGGGTGGGTGCCCACACCCTCCACCCTGCTATGTGGAATGTGCCCAAGGCCTGCCAGCCTGGAGGGGTCTGGGCAGGGACGGCAGGGCAGTAGCCCTTCTCTCTGCCTCCTGGGACCAGGTCACAGGGAAGGAACTTCAGGGTCCAGGACCAGGTTGTACTTTCCCCAAGGGCACAAAGCCCCTCATCCGTCCCTCCCAGCCCTCCCAGCTCCCCCACCAAAGACAACCAACAGCCGCTTGATGTCATGCTCTCGGGCCATACACCAGCTCCTGGCCTGCCCCAGCCCCTGCAGCCGCAGGGTGGGGTCCCCGCCCCACTTCACAGCCTCTCGGTTCCTCTTCCAGAGTGCTGGGCCTCTGGGCCTCCCTCTATGCCAGCTGCCATCCCTGGATCCTCCTCCCTAGGACTCTTTTCCCTCAGGTGGCAGACGCATGGCTGAGGTCAGCACCCTCCCCAGTACATATGCAGCCCAGGTTCCTGGGTGACTGCTGTCCAGCACCCAGCCCAGCCGTGACTCATCACACCCTAGTCCTCATCTGCTTAACATCACCAGTCTGCCAGCAGCACAAAGGCAGAGACAATACTTTGCTGTCTCGAAGCATCGTCAGCACTCAGACATTAAACATGTTTGTTGAATGAATAAGTGAGCTGAAGAGAGCTCATAAATTTTCATATAAGGCCAGTGAGATCCTGAGGAAGCGAATTTCCCAGAGGACTCTATAGATCAATTGCAAGAATGAAACTATATAACACTGAGTGCACCCTCATTGTGAACCTCCATAAAACCCCTAAGACAAAGGAGGAGTCATCACCCCCATTTGCCAGAGGCTCCAAGAGGTCAGTTGGTTTCCTGGGGTAATATTGCTAGAAAGTGGCAGAACCAGGAATGTGGCTCTGTGACCCAGGGTCCCAGGGCTCAGCAACAGCATCCCTCTGAGAACAACTTTCTGAGCAGCACAGAACCGTTTTCAGCAAGGAAGAAGGTTAAGGGCAGTATTCCAGCGGGTTTCTTAGACAGGCAGAAATCAGAAGAGCCATAGAGCAGGGTTGCCACGCCCAACTCAGCCACTAGGTGTCGCCATCCAGCCCCTAACCCCCATGCGGCCCCAGGGCTGCTCACCGTTGTTGCAGTGCCGGATGCAGTCCTGCAGCACGGCCTGCCACTTGTCCTGCTCCGCCTCCGTCATCATGCAGAAGTAGTAGTGACGCGCAGAAGGATGCCAGAGGATGAGTGGGAACTTGGTGGGGCACTTGAGGATGGGGGTGGTGCTCGATTTGGATGTGATCCCTGCAGAGACAGAGCCCGCTGACTCGCTGCCCTCTGTGACTTCCCCCGGCCAGAGGACACAGGCGGCTGATCTGCGGCTGCTCCTAGGGGCTGGTGGTGCATGGAGGGGCTGCACCCCCTTTCCTCCTCTGTCCTCCACAGCCCGGCAAGGAAACTGAGGCTCCCCAGCATCTATTTAGACCCATTTGTTAGAACGAGTGAGTCTTGTATGCAGCCCCCGGTGGGTCAAGTCCTAAGCTCCAGAGGCTGTGAGTGGGTGCGACAAATAACGTAGGGGCCAGTTCAGGTCAAAGGCCCAGCATTACCTTCTTGGGTTCCCTCCCAGTTCCAGGTTGTGGCTTAAATGTCCAAGTGTGGGAGGAGGGAGGCATAAGGGACAGGGCGCACAGGCTACTTAACGGGATTTTTCTCTTGCTCTGTTTTGTCCCCTTGGATATTTGAGATCCAGCGAGTTAGTGGTCCTGGGCGGTGACCTCTCCGCTGTTGTTAGTGACAGTGGCCGTCCTTTGCATGCTGGGGGCCGTGCTGGACTTGGCACAGGCAGCCACTCGAGGGGTCTCAACACCCCAAGGCCAGCCCTCCTGGTGCTGAAGAGCCAGGTGGAGGCTGCTGGGCTGCTCTGAGCCTTCCCCCTCGAGTAGCATTGGGGGGGCACAAGCTGCCCCCAGGCGGGCACCCTTCCCCACACTTGGTTTCTCTTGGGATCATCTGAGAGGCAGATGTGCCCCTGCAGGGTTCTGGGAGTCTCTGAATGGGCAGGGGAGAAACAGGATGCCTAGAATAACCGCTCTCCAGTGTGGTATTAACTCAGCGTTATAAAGCAGGTCACCTGCGATTTCTCCTGGAGCCTCGAGGACCAGGGAGGTGGGAAGGACAGAGAGCCCATTGCAGGGCGGTGTTCAGACAGCTCAAGAAGCAGGCGGGGTGCTTGGGTGGGGCCCACGCTGGCCCAGCCACCCCACACCAAGTGGCCTGGGGTAAACCCCTGGCAGGCCTCCTGGGGGGTGGGGGTGGTATTTGGAGCCAGTTCAAGTCCAGCTGGTCTTTCTGCAAGCATGTCACCCGGCGTGCTCTCCCCTGGCCAAACCCCCAGGCCCACACAGGGCATCTCAGGCTGGGACAGATGGGCTTTTACCTGGTAAGGAGTTGCCAACGAGCTCCAGGTACTGGTCTACCGAGGTGAGGATTTTGTAGCCTGCAGTGTTGATGACAGCTCGTGGGGGGACTTGCCGCTCATAGGCCTGAGGGGAGGGCAAGAGAGACGGTCCCTGAAGGTGAAAGGTAGCCCAGGCCCAGATCCTGCCCCAACCTGCTCCCAGGTTGGGAGGTTAGAGGGGGAGGAGGGAGACGGGCGAGGACTTCGAGCGTCCACGTGGCCTGGACCCAGGTTCCTGGCTCAATTCCTGCACCACTGGGTAAGGGGAGAATCAGTTCCCAACCGCCTAGGCTTCCGCTTCCTGGCCCACGAATCAGGGTAATCACAGTAAGCATGGCGGAGATCTAGCCCCACAGCTGTGACCGCCTGTTACCTGCCACCGCCCCAGCAGTGATGATTATGTGCCAGGCCCTGTACAAAGGCCGCTGCACGTTTCCTTTCACTGGATTCCCACAGCCCCCTGCCGGTTGCAAGGTTGTAGTGCTGCCAGGGAGCCAGCCTAGGGCATGAACTTGACCTTTCAGCATCGCATGCCCCGGAAGAGAGCTGGGCCTGGCCCTGCTTGCTCACTCCAGCCCAGAAAAACAGCCACCGAAGCGCCATACAGCAGGGCTGCCATGCCGCACCTCGCCACTAGGTGTCACTGGTCACCAATTTCCTGCGGGCGGCTCAGCACCTCTTAGGTGGCGGTTTGCAAAGGGGGTAACGGTCACCACCATCATCCTGGCCTGGGAGCCTCTTACATGAAAACTGCCAGACCCGACCGAACTTGGATTAGCCCCAACCACCTGGTTTTTGTTGTTGTTGTTGTTTTTCCCAACCACCTGCTGTGAACGAGCCCCTGCCAATTCTGACGCAAGTTACTTTGAGAACCACAGCGCTGGGGCATCAGGTTGCTCCTGCTAGTGTTTGTCTGACATTAATTTGCCTTGAAACAGATGCACCCAGGCCTGGTGGGCTGCTCCGGAGAGGCTGGGTACTTGAGACTGGATCTGTGGGAACCAAGCAGGGCTCCCCCCAAAGCCCAAAGACCAGGGAACAGCTCACCCGCTGTGGCACAGAGATGCAGTGGGGGGTTGGGGAGGAAAGGTGGCTCCCCTGGGGCAGCCTGGGGCTCGGGAGACTCAGGGAACTGCCGCAGGGGAAGGGTCCGGAGGGGGATGGGAGCCCGCGACCAAGGGAGTGCTTGTGAGGTGATGGGCAAAGTGAAGGCGGCCGCTGTGAGCAGGACACCTGTGTGGGTGAGGGCCATCGAGTGGGG